GGCACACACCTTTAATCCCAGGATTCAGAACTCAAGAGACAAGCAGATGGATCTCTGTTAGTTCAAAGCCTCACTGAGTTACATGAAATTGACCCAGTCCTAATGAGAAACAGCTCATACAAAGGTGTTCTCAGCACTTGGGATCACATGCATTCAATATCAGCACTAGGGAGGTATAAAAGGAAAAGGAAAAAGGCCTCATGTGGAGATTTATTTTCCAGCTACACTGCGGACTGAACAGCCCTTTCAGCCTGAGGTAGAGGTAAGAGCTAGTGGCTGGCTGCTTTGCTTTTCTGATCTTCAGCTTAAAGCTTATACCCAACATCAGTCTCTGGGTTTTTATCAGTTCATGCTATATATATAACCTAGTGGGACAAGTATAAGATAAGGCTGAGCATTCATAACTAATAAGTCTCCATGTCATGATTTGGGAGCTGAAAGTACTAGAAAGCATAGAAGTTAACAGAGGACATCAGATCCCCCCACCCCTAGAACTGGAGTTACAGATGGTTGTAAACTGCTGTGTAGGTGCTGGGAATCAAGCCTAGATCCTCTGGAAGAGCAGCCAGTGCTCTCAACCACAGAGCCATCACTCCAGCCCCCTAACAAAATGGTTTTTTTAACCCTGTGATGAAAGTTCAGCTTGAATTTGGACCGTTGTGAAGAAAATAACCTACTCTTGAATATATATATATATATATATATATATTCATTTCAAAAAATGACCATGAATAAAATGCTGAAACAACACATTGAATAGTTAAATGTAGTAAATAAGAGCTGCATGTTGCTATGTATAATATAACAAGTTAGTGGAACAGGAAGAGAATGCAGAAGGGGGTGGGACCTTAATTAGATTTGAATAAAATTTAGAGAACCACATTTTCATTAACATGGGTACATGTGACTCCAAAAGACAGAATTATACTGTAAATATCTTAGTGAAGTTCAATGATCACAACAGAAGGGATCATGTCAGATTTTCTTCTCATATTTGCATCATCAAGATTATACAACAGTGTCATCAGACATTCGTTACATTAAGAAGTACATTGTCATTTAAATAGTGAAAGACTATATGTGAGATAAAAGTCAGCTATACTAATGACTGCTTTCTCAATTTTCTACTCAGTCTATTCATGATATTTCATTGCAGCACAATCCAGGGAGTATAGATGGCACAACATTTCACAGATGATTGCACAAGGGAAAAGAGTAGAAGAAAATATATGACTTGGTGTGTTACTGTTAGATAATACAGATTATGCGCAGAATCCATTGAGATTTGAGAAGACTTGTGGAACAAAATGTAAGTAAAGTAAGATGTGAGAGTGAGAAGATGCTAACTCCAAGGCTCAGACAAGCTCTCCCACAAGAACAAATTCAGGACTGTAGAATTTCTCGAGGCAACAAAAACATCCTAAATCTGAAAATGAATAAAAAGTAACTGTAATAAAGTAATAAGCTCTCAGTGAGGTCCTGTCACTTACTGGTTGAGGCAGGAGGGTTTGGAATTCAAGATCATGATGGGCTGGCTACGTAGTACGCTTGTGTCTAGTCTAAGCTATAGGAGCTTTTGCTTCAAAGAATGGGTGCAGGCCAGGAGAGACAGCTCTGTTGGTGAAATGGCTGTCATGAAAGCCTGAGGAGCTGACTTTGGATCCCTAGCATGCAAGTGAAAGCTGGATGAGGCAGTGTTGGAGGAGAAAAGGCAACACCTAAAGGTTATTGGCCAGCCAGACAGCCTAATCAATAAGCTCTGAGTTGCATGAAAGTCCTTGTGTGAAAATATAAGGTGGTGGATGGTCAAAGAAGACACCTGATATCACCTCCTCCACATACACTTCACACTACACATTTGCACACTTGTACCCTCATATACACACATCCATAGGGAGGCATACACATACCACACAGTCACAAAAGTAACACACATAACATTGTAAAAGTTTCATAAAATGCAAAAGAAAAGAATAGACATGTACTAGCTACCGTAGTAGACAGATCAGTGTACCTTCCAGCCCTCACCAGGGAGGCATCTTTCTACAGAAGAAAGTGATCTATGTAGACACCTCTAACTAGTCAATGTGCAGAAAATAAGAGATTGTGGACTGCCCAGATCTAAATGAGACAGCTACATCACACCTCTCCCACCAAGGCTTGGGGCTCCTCACAGAAGCAGGCAAGGAAAAAATAAAAGAGGCAGAAATGGGAGACATCTGCTATTAAAAAGTTATTTTCCAGACACAACAGGACCTTTGGTCACATAAATTCACCAAAATTGTGACTTATGCCAACCTGTACAAGGATCAACACTGACAAAACCTCAGCATGGATGGAGAAGAGGTTCAAGGAATTTCAACTGATTGTCAAACTCAACTGACAACCAGCCTGAAATTGATGGCTTGGGTGGTGGGGAGTCAGTTTCATTCAGGGCTGCAGACCCTGAGAAGCTACCCAAGTACCAGTGTGAGAATCTACACCTGTACACATACAGCTAGCACTGAGTGGACTCAGTGGGTTTTAAAAATAAAATAAAAATGAAGTCACAAGAGTCAGAAAGTGATGGTAGAAATTTAGGGAAATTGAAGGGGGATTTGTTCAAAACACATTATATGCATTATGAAATTTTCTAACAATAAAAAAGGATAGACATATAAAGAAAGATAATTCTGAACATTAAAAATCAGACAGATTGAGTGTATATACATACACACATAGACATAACACACATACACGTGCAAGACACATTTCTCTGAGTTAAATTTTTCATTTAAAAAAAAATGAAAGAAAGAAAAGGCTAGAAATGTAGTTCATTTGTAGAGCATTCACCTAGTATGCATATCTGGATTCTATCTTCCAAACCACAAAAAGAACAGGAAAAAAAAAAAAAGAAAAGAAAATATTCCTATAAGATTAGAAACTTTGAGTGAAAGAAAGACTAATTAGCAGAAAAATGCCAGCCAAGCATCAAAAGAGACATTTTCTAGTATACAATAATAAGCAATGTGTCAAGCATTCTGGTACAAAGTCCAGACACCTTACATGAAGCCACACGTTCAATACTCAGGTGTTCATAACTTTGCAGACTACACAGTTCTACATAATGTCTTTTCTTTTTCACCCAGGAGACTTCATTTAATATTTCTCATAGAGTTGGTCGATCTGATCCGCAACTAATCTTCTCCTATCTTTTATATATAGGAAAAACTTTTCTTTTTTACTTGGTTTTAAAAAATATATATCTATATCTACATATGAGAAAAAAGTAGCTGATGGACAATGGAGATCCCAGAGGTCTGCATAGCTGCCCAGCCTGGCCACCAATGAGGTTTCCGGGATTATGGGCCCCAACCCTGAGTACTTGAAACTCCCTGAGTCTATGATGACACTTCCTTGAGTCCCTGTGCAACTACTCTGACAACCCTGCATTCTCCAAGGTCGTGAAGGTCTCAGACTTTGGGCCACCCCAGTTTGGGGCACAGGTAACTATTGACCAGCTGCTCAATACTCATCCGGGTTTGGACACACTGATTGACTGTCCCTTCTGTGAAATCTGCCACGAGGGAGCAAATGGGGAGAACTTTCTGTGCATAGAGATGCCTGAAGAAACTGGCTATCCTCCTCTAACACCAGCTACTGTGCCATACTAAGTTTTCAGCTGAACAGCGGCACTGACCTCTTGCAGAGCATCTAAAAGACTCAGATCTCACACCAAGAAGTGGATGCTGTGCTGTGACTGACATAATGTATTTCATGTCCATCACACTGCCGGCTGCTTGGGGCCCTGGACCACCTCGGTCTGCACAGCTGGCTGGAGGCCTACGGGGCTCATGAACCCCAGCATTGCTCCCTTCACCAGCTACATGCTCTGGATGCTTGTCTCTTTGTGATACCATCTCCAGCTATAGTCAGAATAGAGGAAGACCAATCAAATCTCCCAAATTCATCTTCCACAAGAAAATCTCTTGGATCTTTCGGACCTGGTGGCTAAAGACTGATGTTGCCCTGGGATCTATGCTTCCAACAAAAAAATCTAGATTACCAAGGAGGATTCCAGGGTAACTGTCCAGATAGCATGGAAGTTGTTGTCATTTTTAATTGGTACAGAGACTACTTGGCCCATACTTCCCACTCATTCCAGTAAAACTTACCCTTCTTTGATCTTCATGTCTCCACGATGGGTGTTGATGACCAGCCCCACTAGCCCAGGACTACAAGTCCTCTCTACTGTTCCTTCTGAGGATGCCTGGTCAGTCTGAGGAGGGTCACCTTCTTCATTATGCCTAGTTGCCCAAACTCATTATTGGGCAGGGATATCATGACTAAATTATGTGTTTTCTTTTCTTTTTCATCCAACTCCTTCCAGAATTTTCTTCCTCCTCACCTCTGAAGACCATCCCCTAGGGTTCAGCTTTCTTGTAAACACAAATTGAATATAGTTTCCTATCATACAATTAAATTATGCCTATCCCATGGAAAAAAGCACAGAGCTGCTTTGACAGATACAATCTTTTTGGTGCTCCATCTGGTCAAAGTTGAAAAGTTGATTTCAAAGGGGCAAACTTGATCATTGCCTCTGATTTTAGTACAATGGGGGTATGATACTGGACATTGTCTTTCTCTATGGATATATCAGAGGTCAGATATTAATGTTATGTCATGAGATGATGTATCCTTTGCTCTAGAAACTGTATGGTAATCTCCATGTAGTTTTGGCTTGATTTTAGTTTGAGATGAAAAACATACTTTATTCTCAGAGTTTAAAACAAATGAGCAAAATTTATCTCTATTAAGAGTAGACATAGTTAGGCAGACATGAAGGAAAAAGTGTTTCAAATATCACCTGAATTACCTGAAGGTCACCTAAATCAGTAGTTCATGTAGTGGTATCTTGTTTATACTCTAACAAATAGAGCTTGCCTGACAATCAGAGGGCAGAGATAGCCACTAGTTAACCATAGAAGTCTGGAAGTCTATACAGACAAACAGGAAGTGATATGGCTGGGCAGAATGAGGAGCTGGTAAGGCTGGAGGAGATAGGAGCTCAGTCTTCTGGTTGAGCTCAGTCTTTTTCTGATTGGAAGCTGAGGTAAGGTAGCTGTGGTTTTGTTCCTTCATCTCTCTGGTCTCTCAGCATTTTATCCTATATCTGACTCTGGATTTTTATTATTAAGACAAGTTACAAGAAAGTGGACTTGGCTTTTCATTCTTAGTGTACTTAATTTTACTCATGCTATGACCTTTTCATGAAATAGAATTTCTTTTATTACTTAAATCATTAATTAATTAATTGGGTAAATTACGATGAAAATTTTGTTAGATTACACATAGTAAATATTTTGAAATGTACATTTTGTACACCATCAGATTTTTGTGCTTTTGATTTGGATTTAGTTGTAAACAGATTTCACATAAATGATTTATTACCATTAATTTAAAATATTCTGTTATTGTTCATTGCCTTCTCTGTCATATTGTGACAGACTTGGGCTATATTTTTAGTGATCCAAAATATACTTTAAGATTTTGTTTTAGGTAATCCCAAGGAAAATATGTTTTACCCTTGAAAAATTTGCGTCTCAGTCTATATAAATGTTTCTCTTTAATATAAACACTTTACCTAAGAAACAGAACTGAAAGATTCTTCTATTTGCCAACTGGCCAAGTTAATTTGTTTCATGATCTTTAGAGATTGCCATTTTCTCTTCTAGCTCTTTTTAAAAAATAATTTTAGTATTAAGACATATTATTGAATTCTTCTTTTTTGACAGTACAACTTCAAGATGTTAATAAATGTTGCTCAGTTGGAGCCTCCAACTCATCCCTGCATGGTCCTGGAAGCCTATTCACTCTCCCTATCTCTCTCCAAATTCCACCCACTCAGGCAGTCTCCAAACAAAGAAAAGGCACCAACAAACCAAGTTCCATATTCTTGGTGGCTATTGCATATAGCACAATAAATAAAAGACCCAGAGATAGATATTGGGGCTCAAGCTTCAAGCTGAAGATCAGAGAAGCAAAGCAGCCAAGCCACTAGCTCTTACCTCTACCTTAGACTGAAAGGGCTGATCCTGTCTCCATGAGCTCTCACCAAGTCTCTTCCCTCACCACTGCCTCTCCTCAATGTGATTGGAGAATAAATGCCTGTTCTGAGAATCTGTTTCTGTCTTAAATACATCTCATGAGTCCTGGGATTAAAAGCATGAGCTCTGTTACTCTTGGAGACTGATTCTATCTTGTGTAGCCCTGGGTGGCCTTGAACTCAAAGAGATCCATCTGCCTTTGTCTGGAGTCCTGGGATTTAAGGTACCACCATCACCAAGCTCTGTGATCTCCAGTGCTGTTTTGATCTCCAGTGGCTCTAGGAAACCATAAACAATTTATCAACACACTTACCCATTTTGTCTATTACAAAAAGAGAAAACTACAACTAACATAAGAGAAACTATATACAATAAGTACTATAAATATATATAATATATACAGGCAATAATTACATCAAGAATGTCTACGTCCATTTGCATTTCACAATTTCAGGGAAAATATCTAGTCCATTTGCATTTGACAAACCAGAGAAAATACTCCATTATCTATCCTATCTTAGTGAGTCCAAAGTTTTCCACCTAATTTACTTTCTATACTAATTTGCACTACCAAATTATCTTTTAATGTCTTCCAAACCACTTATACTTTGCACATCTTTAGTGAGTTTCATTTCTGAGTCTGGTAAACAATGAAAACTAACTTCCCTATCTAGTCAACTCCCTCAGAGACCCGAGAAGGCCTGCTTGTTGTAGCCTGGCTCTTAAAGGCAACGCAGATCAAGGCACAGCCAGAAGGAAAAGTTGACAAATTCAGCAGCTACCTGGCTTTTGAGCAACCCAGCTCAACCTCGGTAAAAGCAAACAAAACACAGACAATACTTGTGTCTCACCGAGATTTGCCAGAGCCTGGAAAAATTGTGCCCAGACTGTAACCCAGCTCTGGTAGTCTCATCCAAAAGAATCTTGGGACAAATGACTAACTGTGACACCTATTAGTGTACCAAAGCACTTTGTGGTCTACTGGCTCTCTCTCAGCATAGTAAATACCTGTTACAGAGTCCTAGCTGGAATCCTGGCCCCCTACCCTAAACCTCTCCAGCTTCTGGGCTTCCCTTCCTCCCCTCCCCCCTCCCGGCTTCTCATTCCTATATAATCCTGCATTCTAGCCATGCACTTTCTTTTGGGCCCCTCTCTTTTACCCTGTGGGTGCCCATAAAGATGGCTGCACTCCATTGTGGCACAAGGACAGAGAGTTCACAGCTGTCCTCAGCAAGTCATAAGACCTAAAGGTCAAAGGTGTGGCTACAGTAGGATGTTTGGCTACCTTAGTCTAAATAACAATAGACCGGAATCTGAGGTGTGGCTACTCCTGACTCTCAAGGCTAGGGAAGGAGAAGATGAATCTGAGGTGTGGTTACTAAACCTTTAGACTAAGTTAGAAAGAAAGGTCTATTTGTTCCATATACATGATACTGTGTTCTCCTTTTTTGGTTAAGGTATATAAGAGTGGTGAAAAAATAAACTCATGGCATTTCAGTATTAACTCATCTGCCCTCCTGACCTCTATTCTGTCTCTCTGTCTTTTGTTTGTTGTACATAGCTAGCTTTTCCCTCATCCACACTCCTCCACTCAGGTATGGACTTGGGGCCGCTCGACTGGCTCTGATTGCAGCCCTGCTCCCGACATTACGCCCCCTCTCTTGCCTGCTTCTGTCTGGTCCCCCCTTCCCCTCATGGCCCAGTGCCCTCTGGTGTCCATGTCCAGTGTACTGCTTTCTTTCCCTGTTCTGGACTCTTCCAGAAGCCTATGGCTGCACTCTTTCTCATATCTACAACAGAAATCTTTCCCCTAACCGTACCTGGGAGTGATCAAGTCCTCACTTTATACCTGCAGGCTACGGGGCTTCTTGCAGCTGATCCCAAGACAGGAAAGACACTTACAAAACCAAGGGCTTTTAAAAATGCTGACAGGATTGTTAAGAAACACAAGTCCTTAAGTCTACCAAAGAAGCCATTTTCAGGGGGTGGCTCCATTGTTGTCCTTCTTGTCCACACTAGGGGAGGGGGTTGTGCCTGTTGTCCACGTGGGGAAAAGGTACATGTGCCATTTGTGGGCTGTCCAGAGACAACAATGCTCTTCTTATAACTCTTTTGCAGTTAAAGTTTTCTGCACCACATGAAAACATTCTCAACTCTGACATTCATCACAACCCACTGGGACATGCTATTGTCAGAAGGACCCACAGTGTCTCAAACAACATTTAGAAAAGCAAAAGGGGGTGGATTTCCCTATCGTGCCTAGTTCTCTGAACAAAGCCTCAGGAAAGACCTCCTCCCTGCTGCTGGAAGGCCTGAGGAAAGGCTGCTAAAACCTAAGTGCTAATGAATAGATATCGTGAGGGGAAGATACTAAAGTGGGGAGCACAAAACTGTGCTGTCTATGCCCCCAAGGGGTGAAAGAGCCCCTTTTGGTCCAGCTGAGATCCTGTATCCAGGTGTGAAGAGGCCTGGAATTGAAAATTGACTCAAGGCTGCTTTGCTGAGACGTCTGGTAATCATATCTGCGCAGGTAAGTCTGGTCAAGAGACAAGCCCACTGGACGTTTCTCCCCAGGCACTGACTTTTCATCCAGTTGCTTACTCCCATTCTTCCATACCAGTATGAACCATACCAGTATGATTTACTCCTCCAACTATGGGGGGGGGGGCGGGGGTATTCTAACCACCTGGAGTCCCAGTAAACTCCTTTCAATTATTTAGCAATTTAGACGGGATTTAATATGTTACATGGATTACCAACACATGTGTATCAGCAGTTTTTTTTTTTTTTATAACAGAAAGGTGTAATTGGAAATTAACTGTGGCCCACCTCCTGGGTATTTGGACCAATTATGCTGGAATGCGCCAGAAAAAGCTTATGATCAGACCACTTTTCTTATTAATTCTGTAATAACGATATTCAGTGAGCTTCAAGGACTTAATATCTTTAATTTAGTAAAACATTCCTTTTCTATTGGTTGAGTAGGGCTCTTATGTTCTTTCCTCGTATTTATTTTATAGTCTGGTGCCCAGTATTGCAATGAACCTTCCTTGGAATAAATAAGAGCATCCATCTTGAGTATCTAAGAAATTAGTAAGGGGAGATGTAGAGAGTAGAGAAAAACCTGAATAAAGGTATGTTGCTGATCTGGCCATGCCAAGAAGTTCAAGACTACAGACAAGTGGGAAATTGGCAAATTCTTTTCCTATAGGGGCATGTCTCAAGAAGGATGGCATAGTTTTCCTTGAGGGTACATGGCTAAATCAACAAGTCTTAACTGACATGGGACAGCCCATATGTTGTGGTTTGAATAAGAACCATTCCCATAGTATATTTGAGTGCTTAATCATCACTACTTGAGAAAGATTAGGAGGTGTGGCCTTGTTGAAGGAACTGTGTTTCTGAGGGTGGGCTTTGAAGTTTCAAAAGAACAAGCCAGGCCCCGTGTCACTCTCTTTTTCTGCTGCTTGTGGACCCAGACGTGCTATTTCTCCAGCACCACGTCTGCCTGTGTGCTGCCATGTTCTCCTACCATGATGATAGAATAGGCCAAGCCTCTGAAACTATACGTCCCAATGAAATGCTGTCTTTTATAAAAGTTGCTGTGGCCGTGGTGTTTTCTCACGGCAATAGGACAGTGACTGACACACCATGTAAAATAAAAAGTGCATATGTTATACCCTATGTGGGCTCCCCCAAATTTCCAGTAACAATGAGGTCCTGTTCTCACTGTGTGTGTGTGTGGTGTGTGTGTGCGAGAGAGAGAAGTAGTAGTAAAAGATGACAGAAAAAAAGAAGAGAAAGATAAAAAGAAAACCTGTAATTTAACATTTCCCATCAATAGGCGTGTGATGGTTTAAATGAAAATGGCCTCCAGAGGCCCATCGGGTGGCCTTTTTGGAGGAAGTCTGTCACTAAAGTTGAGTTTGAGGTCTCAGATAGATGCTAAAGGCTGGCCCAGTGTCATTCTCTCCTGCTGCTGCCTGCTGATCCAGATCCAGGACTATAAGCTGCCCAACCAGCACCATGGTCTACCTTCATGCCATCATAAGTCCCACAATGATGGCAATGAGCTAAAACTCTGAACTATAAGCCAGCCTCTCCAAAATATTTTCAATTTAAGAGTTGCTATGGTCACAGTGTCTCTTCACAGCAATAGAAACCCTAACTAAGACAAGGCTACTAAAGGAAAGTTAAATCTAATAGGGGTAGCAACAGTAAAGCAGAAAAACAAAAAAAACCCGAAGTAGGTGTCGGTGTCCAACAACAGAGGCATGGGAAAGCAATGTTTGCAGCCACAAAGGAGAATGGAGTTACATTGTTGGTTGAAAACTGAATGCCACAGGAGATGGCCAGATTAAGCAAAATAATCCAGTCTCTGAAAGACAAATAGCACCTGCTGTCTCTCATTTGCAGTCCCTTGGCTGCATAGCCTCACATAAAATCCTGCTTGCTAATGTTAACTGAAATCGTCCAGGAAAACAAAGAGAACAAAAGTGAGTTGGGAGCAGTGAGAAAAAGGAAGGCAGGAAGAACCAGGCATCAGGGAGCAAATGAATGCAAGTAATTTAAAAATCAATAAAAGTACTGGGATTGACACGTCAAACAAGCTCGTTTCAAATTTAAATTCAAAAATTATCAAAAAAAAAAAAAAAAAAAAAAAAAAGGAAAAAAAATCAATAAAAATTAAAAGCAGGGGGAAAACATGTTTTCTAAAAAGATTAATATTGTTGAACTCCGACTACACTGAACAATAACAAATCTAAGGGATGACTCCTGTTTTCAAGACCAAAGGTCATGAGAAGGTAAATGCTAGTAATAATGTAGCCACTGAAAGAACAAGATATTCCTTTAAAATATTTCTTAATTATTCTAATAATCTAACAAATTCTCTACAAAGACAAAAACTACAAAACAGACTGAAGAAGTAGAAAAACAAAATTCGTTGACGATGTTTCTACTAGACAGACAGGAATTTAGAGTTGGCAATGTGGCCATGCTTGGACACCAGTCCATATGAAGCCATGGGATTCCAAAGCAACAGCAAGAGATTTCTGTTTTTTTCAAGCCCCACAGATTTACAATACAGACTCATGAAGCCAATTAGTCAAAATTCCCTTTATTTATTAAGGAAATTAGAATTCCAATTAAATACCTTCCCACAGAGAAAATTAAACAGTGAACAAAAAATTGAGTAAGGGGGGTAACATACAGATTGTAATTGTAAATTGGCAAGTTGGCAAGTTGTCTTCACTCACACACAAAATAACCATCTCTTTAGAAAATACTTAGGGAATCTATAAAAGACTAGACTTCTTAAGAAAAATTAGCAACATAGTGTAGGCCACATCAATATACTTTAATTATATTAATCTGTGTAGCAATAAACAAAGAAAATTAACTCTGATAAAACAATACCATTTATAGTAGTATCCAAAACCAAAAGATAATTAGGATAAACTTAGAAAACTAACTGAAACTTTTCAAATTACTGAAGTCGAAATAAAAAGAACTGACCACTGGAGAAAACAATTATAAACCTGAGTTAATAGGTATTTGTCAGTGGGCTGGAATTCTAAATGCTTGGGTTCAATTCTGTATATGTTGGTTAACAGACAAAAATCAAGTCAAAGTGCAACCATACGTGTAACACAGAAATAGAACACTGCCTAAGATACCATATCTTAAGAAATGTATATATGAAACAAGAAAATTGCTGAGTCATGAGATAGGTGTATGCTTTAGTCAGCTTTCTGTTGCAGCGATATGGTGCCCAACAGAATCAATTTAAAGTTACACCATAACCAAGCAACTCTTATACAAGAAAACATTTCATTGGGGATTGCTTCTGGTTTTAGAAATTTAGTTCATTATCATTGTGGGAAGTTTGGTGACTTGCATACAGACATAGTGCTGGAGAAGTAGCCAAGAGTTCTATATATGGATCCACAGGAAGCCCACCCATAGCGACACACTGTCCCCAACAAGGCCTATCAAACAGAGATACTCCCTAGTGACCAACTATTCAAATATATGAGACTATGGGAACCATTCTCCTTCAAACTACCACACATGGTATGTCCAATAAAAGACTTTTAAAGGAGTCTAGAGAGATAGCTCAGTGGTTAGAAGTATTTACTGGTTTTTCAGTGGACACTGGTTTAGTGCCTAGCTCCTACATCCAGTAGCTCACAACTGCCCATAATTCCAGTTCCAGGAGATCCAACACCCTTTCTGACCTCCATGGGCACCTGCACACTCCCACATACACTCAACAAATAAATATCCCCCCAAAATCTTTGAATTTTAGAAAAAAATTTATAGGAACAAGAGTTAGATAAAAATAATGATACTCATCTAAATCCAAGAACATACCAAATATCTATTGATTTGGATAATGACAAAACTATGACCTATCACTACACAGAGTACTGTTTCATAATTTGAGAAATAATAATAGCATACAAAGCAACATGGTTGAATTGCAGAAATAACATATTAAACCAAAGAAGCCTAACACCAAGGCATGAATACCACAGCATTCCAATTTTACCAAATTCTGGGATAGACAGAACTAACCTATAGAAACAGAAAAGAAATCAATGAGCCCTTTGGTGTTCAAGACCAAATCTGACTTCAAAGGGGCTCAGGGGATCCCTTTGGAGTAATTGAAACATTCTGAGTCTTGATTACACTGGTACCCAGTTGTATACATTTGTCAAGATTCATTAAACTGTACAGTGAAAATGTGTGGATTTCATTGCACATAAATTATGTCTGTATAGACTTGATTAAGACAGTCCATTTGAGGACATGGTCTAGTTACATAAAAGATGACTTGAAATAAACTCATAGGTAAAGTAATTGTGAGTGGAAAAATGTGGCGCTAGACTAAAATACAAAGAAGTGTCAGTTTAAATATACTCTAGCAATTTAGTAGCTACATAAAGCAGTCATTTTGTTATTAATATTTTAAGGATAATTAATAGTAAGACAATTCAGTAAGGTAGTCAAATACAAAATTAAAATCCAAATTTTCATTGCTTTGCTCTCTACAAATAAAATTATAATGAACCACATTTAAATTAGCAACCCCAAAGTATATATGCTTTGAAATTCACCCGCACAGAAATAAAAAGAACAGATGTGGAAGTATGTCAGTATTCTACTGTGAAGCATAAGATATATTTGAAGGAATTAAGACAATTGTGCTTGTTGCCACTCAACAAACAGCCTCAAAATTATGAGTTTTCAGATATTTGGCTGTGGATTTCCTGACGTTTAGCTGGTTAAAGAGGAGCACAGCTGGGCATATTTGCTTCTCTGTACAATTTTCAGGGTGGGCTCAGCTGTTTTTTTGAGTTATGGCAGCCAGGAAGGATCTGCCTCTCTGGGACCTGAAGTCCAGCTGCAAAATGTTCCTCTGATGGCCATGCTACATTCTCAGAAGGGCAGCCTGGTGATTCAATAGCATTTCAAATTCAATTGTCAGGCTGGTGGTGTAGATCCGTTTAGAGTGTGCTTGCCTAGCTTGTGAGAAACACAGAATTGCCAAAATCAACAACAATACATTTAAATGATAACAAAATTAATTCCCTCTGTGGCTTCTACTAACACATCACCAGGTGAAGAAGTCCACATGTCTACAACTGATGTCAACAAGAACTGAAAGAGCTTCTCCCCCTACAGAGGACTTGAAGAGTCTGCAATGTCACATGGATGCATTATATTATGGGTGGGACGTTTGCATTCCCCAAAATACTCTAAAGTCTTCACCCCTTAAAGTGATGGTGGTAAGAAGTGAGTCTTTTGCGAAATAACTGAGTTTACGTGATAGTATGCAGAGGAATTCCTGTGATGAGATTTGTGTCATTATAAGAATAGGAGGGGCCAGGCATTAGTGTCACATGCCTTTAATCCCAGCATTCTGGAGGCAGAGGCAGGTGAATCTCTGTGAGTTCGAGGCCAGCCTAGTCAGTCTACAGAGCTAGTTCCAGGACAGGCTCCAAAACAATACAGAGAAACCCTATCTCAAACAAACAAACAAACAAACAAAAGAATAGGAAATGCTAGGGATTGTAAATCAATGGTAGGGTGTTTGCCTAGCATACATAAGGACCTGGGCTCAATTCCCCAATATAGGGAAAAAAAATGAAACAAGAAATAGGCTACTCAAGGTGGTCTTGAGGGGAGGAGAAACCAAGTACTACATTTGTCTAGGTTTTGTTTTTTTCTTAGACAAGGTTTTTCTGCATAACCCTAGCTGTCCTGGAACTCACTCTGTACACCAAGCTGACCTTGAATTCACAAAGATCCACCTGCCTCTGCCTCCCAAGTGCAGGGATTAAAGGTGTGCACCACCAAAGCCCAGCATGAAACCAAATACTCATCACTGGTTATCAAAGATTGAAGTTGTTCATGGGATGTGTTAGTCACTCAGTAGTGCTTTCAAAGAAGATACAGGCTTGGTAACACGGGAAAGCAAACTAATGTTTCAACCATTATGGAAAGGTACGAAACACGTCTTTCACCAGGGGTTGAATCTGTTGGTGCCTTGAACTTGGACTTCCCAACACCAAGAATTGGGAGAAAACACATTTTCTGTCACTTTTGTCACAGTACCCAAAGTGGACTAAGACAGATTGTCACTACA